CCCCTCCCACTCCCACTCCCTGGATGACATGTCCATCCTGGGCCTCCTCCAGTGTCACAATGATGCCACCCGGAAACTGGAGGAACAGCACCTCATATTCCGCCTTGGGAGCCTACAACCCACTGGTCTCAACGTGGACTTTACTAGCTTCAAAATCTCCCCACACCCCCACCCCGACCTCACCCCAAAAACACCTCAGTGGCCAATCCCTACCTTTCCTAGCTTCATCCCCGTCTCCTTGACCTGTCCGTCTTCTCTCCCACCTATCCGCTCCACTATCTACTTGCTATCACCGCTCCCCCGCCTCTATTTATTTCAGAGCCCCCTTCCCCTCCCCCATTTCTGAAGGGTCCCGACCCGAAACATCATCTTCTGATGCTGCCTGGCCTGTTGTGTTCATTCAGCTCCACACTTTGTTAGACAGACAGGCAGAGTGTTTTTAGATTGACATCTCCATGTCTAAGAAAACTAAATCTAGAAGTCTGACTGAAAGTAGGAATCCTGAACAGACTTATTTTGAATGGGGAGCTTGCAGCCTCTGGATGGTTCTAGGAGATTTGAGGAGACGACCTTGCAAAAGTAGCTGGAAGGCACAAAAAATTTCAACCCATACGTGGATCACTCAAATCCCCAAACCGAGTGATTACTGTTTTGAGTTTTGCTAGGTGTCTAACTTGACAGTTTTGCAGTACAAATGCAATGGTGTAGAAGAAAACTGGATTTAAGACATTCAGTTTAAAGTAGAAGTAAGAACATTCATTGTACTTTTAACATCTTTAACATAACTACCTAAGATAGAGTGTGGATATTATAGTTCATATTCTTTAATTTTTATTTATCATACAACAATACATGGTGCAGAAGAGACCTTTCAGCCAGAGTCTGTTCCACCAGAACTACACCAAGTCCCTATTTTCAGCACTTGGCCCACATCCTTGAATGTTATGACACTGCAAGGGCTCATCCATCCACTTTTTAAATGTTGTGAGGTTACCCATCTATACTACCCTCCTAGGCAGTGCATTCCTGACCCCCACCACCGTGTGGATGAGAACGTTTTCCTAAACTCCCCTCTGCCTCCTGCCTTTCACCTTTAAAGTGTGTGTCTTGTTACTCACCCTTCAATTAAGGGGAACAGCTGTTCTCTATCCACTGTTAGCAAAGGTGAATTCTATCTTCCACTGATCTGCCCATCTGATCAATCTGTTTCAGTCCATCTGCAACCTGAGACCTTCTTCCTCACTGTCAACCGCTTGGCCAATTTTTGTGTCGTCTGCAAACTTAACCCCCGCATTTTCATCTACATTGTTTATATGTATCACTAACAACAGTAACATTACATTTTTTAAATCTTGAAGCATTTGCCATAATTCTTTTAACTCAAGGGATCAACCTGCTAGATTAATTTTGCTTCTTTCTCCACAGATGCTGCCTGTCCTAAGTACACACAGTTCTTTTTGTTTTAATTTCCAGACTTTCAGCAGCTGCAGTGTTTTGCTTCTAAAGATGCAAAAGTAAAAGTAACTGATCTTACCTCCAGCAACAAGCCCAGATTCTCCTAACTGAATGGCCACGCCAAATCCACCAAGTTTCACAGGTGCTGAATTTTCCTTCGAAGCAAGTAACACACAATGTGGCTGCATCGGAAGAAAAACATTGAGTAGTTTGTGTAAAAATAAAACTACTATATAAAAAAAAACTAAAAATGCTCATTTTGAAATTATTTGAAGAAAAAGGTGAAACAGCTGGAGTCAAAACTCTGAAATACTTTATCACACTGCTAATCTAAAATCACATTGCGATTTGTAATTTGTGGTCATTACCGCAGTCAAATCAAGCACAAATGGAGAAACAGCTGTATAATCTTAAATTTGAAAAGAACGATATCCATGTTTTTCATGGTATTACTCAGTCCAAATGTTGTTTGCATTAATGCTTAGAAATGGAGAAGTTGAGTTAGTCTGGGTACAAACTTGTAGAACTTCTTCAGTGGCAATTCCATAGAATTCACTACCAAAAATTTATATTCTTTCAGTTAACTAACTCTCCATGTTCATCTGCTGTGCTCAGTGCAGTCACTGAAAAGATGCTTCTTATGCAAAATATCAGCACCTTTGACCATACAATGTATGGCCGCAGGAATACAAATGAGTATATGTACATTATGTATATGTATCATTTAAGTAAATATATAGTTCAAAAGAATACGCAAAGTAAGTTCCTGAAATGGCATTGTCCATACGTATATCCAAGATTTAATTAAAATATTTCAAATATATGTTTATATTTGAGCACTTAGATATGGAAATATCCAATGCTGAACCACTTTGCCAATTACCTTTTTTCACTCATTATCATTTAATGTGTTGAAAGCTAAGCTCTGGAAGCCAAGTCAAGAGTGAAACATCATTCTGGGCTGCTTCCTTAAATGTAGAAAATCTATACTAAAAAAAATGATGAGTAGACATTTTCTTTTTAATACAAACCAAGGCTTGAGCCTAAAACCACTATTGGCTCATGCCACAGAATATCCTTTTACTTTAGATTAATTGGGTATAGGGTAAACTTCAATAACACATGTAACAAAAAGAAGTCCTATTGGCCCTTATACAAGAAAAGGAAATAGCATCCCAGGCAAAATACGTAACAAAACAGTAGTATTTCACCATATTATATTGGTCTAGTTACAACTATGAACTAGACCCTGAAGTTGGTTTAGACTACAGTCTCAATTTGTATTTTTAAGAAAAAGCCTGCACCTGTTCTTTACATTTAAAATAACAGTTCAGAAACATGGCACTACATTGCTGGATTCTATCAAGAGTTTTCATTAAAAAATCCAAATGGATAAATACAAATGAGGTGAAATGCAGTACAAGGTTAAATTGATCAACACAGTTCTGCACTGTACACATTGTAACCGTGTGAATGATGAATGACCTACAACAGGCTTGTCCAAATTTTTGCATGGGGTCCGGGGATAGCACAATCCATTTGATCTCTCACTTGCTGACCCAGTGACCAAAAAATATCTGAAACTAAAACAGTAAATTTAAATGACTAATAAAAATGACTACGCAAAATTGCGAAGCAGCAGATCTAATTAATGTCATTACATTTTCCCTTTCTTGTTTAAAAAGTGACCTTGCCCTAAACCTTGCCCACCAGTGAAGGTGGTGGGAAATGAGGCTGAGATAAGGAGGTGAGTTTAACGCTGACTTTGGTTTGTTTGTGGTGATTTGTCAGGCTGACATCATGCAGGAGAAGATAGCAGTGAGTTGGTGTGTCTAGTCCAATCCAACTCATCTGTCCATCAATCTCTCAGCATACACACACCGATCTTGCATCCACCTGGCCTTGCACTTACTTATACTAGTTACCCACATCCCTGTCACTGACACCTACCTACCAAGTCAGCAAATTTCCTTGACCTGGTCCCATTACTTGCCCATCCTTCTAATCACCAACTCCGTCTCCACACATTCTCACACCACTTTGCACACCCACCACTCCAGTCAGTCAGTCAGTCAGTCAATCACCTACCTACAGCTCTGGTCACCAATCTCTCCTCCAATTCCCCATCACTCATCTAGAGTCACTCATTTACACTCCAGTCACTCACTCACTTCCACCAAATGTGGTCCCAACACCACCCACCTACCATATATGTACCCCTCCACTCACTTACCTATGCACCCAACCCCAGTAACTCCCTGGGCAGGAAAGTTTCCTGATTAATGTTGCCTGCAGCTAGGAAGGAGGCACGTCCATGGAATCCTTGATTAACCAAATGGAGCATCCTGACTGAATGACAAATCAGAGGCAGAGCAAGGCTAGCCAATCAACATAGCAAAATGCTGTTCAATTCCAAAAATTTTCTATCAAAAGAAATTCACCAGTGGCCCGTGGGATTCTCACCCAATTCAACAGCCTGATGCTGTCCTTAAAGCGGTTTCGCTGTCCCTTCTCATGGCCCGACTCTCACCTCCCCCATAGTCTGTGTCTCACCTTGCATTTCCCCTTCCTAACATTTTATCAATATGCAAAAGGTGAAATTTTAGCAACACCACAAACACAAATTCGCTCATGAAGCTGACCTCTTTCACAGAGCAAATGCGTCTCTCTAATGGTAGACTGTTGCCGTTTTTAAATAATCTCCTTTGGGAAAGCTCTAAAAAGCTTTCATAGATCCTCTAAGATAATGAAGCTGAACTCTAGAATGCCAAACAGTATAACCCATGTCTATATTGTCCAGTTAGATTGCAAATCTGAACTGCCTCATGGTTCGGGCAAATTGAGGGAATACCGTATTGTCTGAAGAATCTCATTTTGGATAAAATATTAAGCAATCATATTAAAACTACATGCCTTAATTTAAGAAACAGTTTTTTTTAAAATCTTAACATTTTTGGGGCTAGTAAAGCCAATTTAATTCTTGTACCCAGCAGTACAATTGGTCTATTAACCCTACTTATGCATCTCAAACTCAAATTCATGAGAACCTTATTACAGAAAAGGATTTTAGTTTAATTCTAAAATACCATTTAACAAACAAGTCCCAGGCAAAAGGAAACAGACGCAAACAGGAAAACATATAGCGTCAGCGGGGTTTACACAGTAGAAAGGAAAACCACAAGAATTACAACCAATAGAAGTAAAACAGGAATAGATCATAGTTATGTTTTTCTAGATGAAGAATCTCTTAAACATTGTGCACCTTCTTATGAAAAGCTAAATACAAGATTTGGCACATTGTAATTGATTTGATAACTAGCACATTGACCAATTAAGCACAGGATTAAGACATCTTCACAGGTATGTGATTAATGTTATTTATACAGAATCAAATTTTTTAAAATACGCTCGTGAGATATGGGCATTGCTTGTTGGCCAACATCTGTTGCCTGTCCCTAATTGCCTTTGAGAAGATGGTGGTGAGCTGCCTTCTTGAACCACTGCAGTCCAGCTGCTGTGGGTTGACCCACAATGCCATTAGAGAGGGAATTCCAGAATTTTAACCCAGTGACAGTGAAAGGATCGCAACATATTTCCAAGTCAGGATGGTGAGTGGCTTGGAGGGGAACTTGCAGGTGGTGGTATTCCCATGCATCTGCTGTCCTTATCCATCTAGATGGAAGTGATTGTGGGCTTGGAAAGTGCTGCCTGAGGATCTTTGGTGAATTTCTGCCGTGCATCTTGTAGATAGTACACACTGCTGCTACTGAGCATTTGTGGATAGGGTGCCAATCAAGCGGGCTGCTTTGTCCTGATGGTGTCAAGTTTTTTGAGTGTTGTTGGAGCTGCCATCCAGGCAAGTGGGCAGTATCTATCACAATCATGACTTGTAAATGGAGGACAGGTTTTGTGGAGTCAGGAAGTGAGTTACTCACTGCAATATTCTTAGCCTCTGATTTGCTCTTGTAGCCACTGTGTTTATATGGTGGTTGAGTTTCTGGTCAATTGTAACTCCAACCACCAGAGAGTTTGCCATCTATGCCAATTTTGCTAGGGCTCCTTGATGCTACAAGTGGCTGAATGTAGCCTTGACATCAAGGACTATCACTCTCACTTCATCTCGAAGATCTGTTTATGTTCCTTGACTGATACACCTCACAAGGCACAAAAATGTGTTCTTTTAAACAAGTACTTTCAAATGCAGTTTGGATTTTAAAAATAACAAACTTCACCAAACAATCCAATGGAAATAGTTATACACAAATGAATTATGAGTAACTGAACTTTCAGAGGTATTTGGAAATTTTGAGAAGTGGGGGAAGGGGGGTGCAGAGTTAATGTTCGCTGGCCAGAGGGTGGGGTGGGAGCTCTTCCTCAATTGCACATATGAACCATATGTAGCATTTGTTCCAAAACTCTGACACATTTTAGGAAAATTAAGAATTCACACATAAATAAGTGGATAAAATATGGAAATGATTTTAAAATCAATCTACCAAATCTGTATCAGTAAGTTTCTTAATTCTGTAACAGAAAGGGTGGGGGGCTGGGATTGGACGAAAAAAAATCATCTGGTACCAGAACTATCCTACCAGGAATTCTGCATGGATAGACTTATATATCAGATGAAAAATTTCTAAGGCAGACATCCAAGATTATTTATTTGTTGCAGCTTCAAGGCAAAAAGGAAGAACTCATTTGTATTAATATGTTGCTATAAGTTCTCTGGATGTCCTAAAACTCATCATAGCTAATTAATTTCCTTTGGAACTGCAATAACTGTTTTTAGAAGGCAAATGTGGCAGTCAATGTGTACACATCAAGGTTCCCCAAAAAAAACAAGAGAGATAAATGGTGAGTAAGCTCTGACTTAACATGCATGAACAAAGCTTGGACAACTGACCAGAAATTACTAGAGAAACTCAGCAGGACTAGTAGCATCTATGGAGAGAAAGAGTTAATGTTTCGAGTCCAGTTTGACTCTTCTTCAGAACTACCAGCATTTAGCTTTTATAAAGGATTGGACCCAAATGAACTAGAACACGATAAGGCACAGGAGCAGAATTAGGCCATTTAGCATGTTCCATCATTCAATGAGATCATGGCTGATGTGATAACTGTCAACTTCACATTCTTGCCTTTTCTCCATAACTCTTGATTTCCTTGATATGTTTAAGACTCTCTCTCAACCTTGAATATATTTTAACTACCCAGCTTCTATAGCTCTAGGTGCTCAAGAATTGTGCATGTTCAGAGAAGAAGTTCCTCTTTATCTGTTCTTTCTGGGTGATTGCACCTACCCGTTGAACTTGCACGCCAGCCTTTTGTGATTCATATGTGAAGACGTCCAAGTCTCTGTGTTGCAGTTTTCTGCAGTCTTTCCCCATTTAAATAAAATTCAGTTCCCCTATTCTTTTTGCCAAAGTGCAAAACCTCGCAATATATACCAACTGATTTAAAGTATTTACTTGAAAAATGGTAGCAGGATAAGTCTTTAATAAAATGTCTCTGCTCCTACAAATAACAATAATCTAACATTCGGATGCTTTAAAGTAAAAAAAAGTGCACAGGAGGGAACTGTTTACTTAAACTTGAGTAAAGCATACTCACATTAAGTTGATTATAACAGCATCACTGTCTTGAACTAATTATAGATAACAAAGCTGCGAGCAGACCACTCGTAAAAGTGATGAGAGATAATTATGACAGTCACATTAGAAGCTTCTTTTATTTTTCACAGATACGGTCTGTGTTGGATTTTTTAAGCAGTATTCTTTGTAAAATATTTTGACTCCCAGGATGCCATTTGGAGAATCTGAAACACCAGAGTTTTAACCTCCAACAAATAAATAAAATTAGTTCAGAGGATTTATCCTTTAGTTTTTGTGTACAATATGTTAAACAGCTTTAGGTTGTGGACCAGTAATGAAGTAACACTGGCCTTTTGCACACTGTTTCGACCATCCAATGCTCAAGGAGCTCCAGCTAACAATCAACATCTTTGTTCGATTCATACTTTACTACATTTCTGACACAACATCCGGAGAATGCCAGACTGGCAATGACACAGTTAATCAGAGCAGAAACTATTCATCTTGCATAATCTGTTTACTAATATTGTGCATCATTTTAAATCTTAATCATCAGTAGAAACAGCAGTTGAAATTAAAACAAACTTCCTTATTAATATCATATATTAAAATTCATGAATTAAAAGAAATTGTTAGTTTATTCATGGGATGTGGGCATGGCTTGCTGGGCCATTAGTGCCTATTTTTAGTTGCCCTCAAGTTAAGCGGTGGTGAGCTGCCCTCTTGAACCACTGCAGCCCAGTTGCTGTTGGTAGACCCACAATGGCCTTAGAGGGGCAATTTCAGGATTTTGACCATGTAAGATTGAAGGAACTGCAACATAGTTCCAGGATGGTGAGTGGCTTACAGGAGAACTAGTAGATGGTGAAGTTCTATCTGCTAGGCTTGTCCTTCTAGATGGTCAGGGAATGTGAGTTTGGAAGATTCTGTCTAAGGAGACATGGTGAATTTCTGCAGTGCACCTTGTAGATGGTACACATTGCTGCTACTGAGTATTGTTTGTGGATGTGGTTGCTTTGCCCTGGTTGGTGTCAAGCGCCTTGAGTGTTTTTAGAGCTGCATTCAGCCAGGCAGATGGGGACCATTACATTACAATCCTAGCTTCTGACCAGCTCTTATAACCAAAGTTTTGATATGGCTAGTCCAATTAAATTTCTGGTCAGTGGTAATTCCAAACTGTTGATAATCTGGGAATTCAGTGATGGTGATGCCACGGGGCAATGGTTAGATTCTCTTGTTGGAGATGGTTATTAACTGGCATCCATGTGGTGCAAATGGTCTTGATACATTTGAGCATGGGCTGTTCAGTATCTGAAAAGTCACCAGTGATGTTAAACAATGTGCATTCAAAAGCAAAAATTGCCACTTCTGACCTTATGATTAGGGAAGGTCATTGATGAAGCAGCTGAAGATATTTGGGCCAAGGGTACTATCCCGAGGAACTCCTGCACAGAGCATTGTGGACGTACCAAACAGCAAATGGAATGCGCGAGGCAACTCACCAACACTTTCTCCAGGGCAATTAGGGATGGGCAATAAATTCTGGCTCAGCGAGCCAAGGCACAGCCCATGAACATGTAGTGGGGAGAATTTTGTATATGGGTTACCCCAAAACAAATCTGAGTGAAAAATCAAAAATGATCAATAAAAGTCTTAATTACTTGCATTAGAAAGGACAAGGAAAGTTAGTTAGCTTAATAAATAAGATTTTTATACACACAAGTCATTTATTCCTTTTCAAGAAAGATTGTTGGGTTGTTTAAAAGAAAATTAAAACTTGCAGGCAAGGTCAAAATACCGATTTCGTTAGCATACATAACCCTGCAAAAGTGCAACATGGCTGAACTGGGAATAACCTTGGATTTTTTTTTTCCCCTGAAGGTGGAATGTTAATGCCCCTGCAACATGCTGAGTAAAGTACCACCAGATAAAGTTACGGGGATCTCAAGGCTGTGAAAATATCATAGGCTTTATAAAAAGGAGATACTGCAGCTTCTGGGAAGATGGGGGGAGTGGATAATAACAGGGATGTTAGGCACCCCTGCCATTTTGGAATGTGTGAAAGACAAGGTACTTGTCTAAAACAGACCATTTCAGAATTCAAGTAACTGACTGTCTACATGACTTACAATGAACAAACGTTTGAGATTTCTTTCGCAGGGTAGAGCTCTGCTTTGGAAATATTCTGATGTGGATCTCTCCCAAAACATTGGCAAAAAAGAAATTATAAATGGCCCAAGGCTCAAGGTTATTGTATAAAATAATCTACCACAACAAATGAAATCACCAAAAAAAAGAGTAAGGAAATTAGAAAGTGGTGTAAAAATTACAGTGTGTTTACAATGGGGGGACTTTTATACCGTGGTGCAGTAGCAATAGGAAGGGCAGTGGGAAGCAAGACTTCCAAGACAGGGTTGAGGGGAATTTTTAAAATACCAGTATGCTTCCAGTCCAACACGAAAGTAAGAACTAGTAGATCTGGTTTCTTTGGGATGAGGTGAGCCACATAAATCATACGCAGGTGAAAAGTTAGTCACTCTATCATCAGATTTAGGGTGATTAGGAGAAAGGAGCACGAACAATCCAGAGTAAAAATAATTAATTCAGGGAAAGCCGATAGGATAAGAATAGAGATAACAAGGCGTAGAGCTGGATGAACACAGCAGGCCAAGCAGCAGAGGAGCAGGAAAGCTGAGGTTTTGGGTCGAGACCCTTCTTCAGAATTGGGAGAGGGGGAGGTGGAAAGAAGATGGATAAAAGGAGAAGATAGGTGGAGAGGAGACAGACAGGTCAAAGAGGTGGGGGTAGAACCAGTAAAGGTGAGTGTAGGTGGGGCGTTAGGGGGAGATAGGTCAGTCCAGGGAGGACAGACAGGTCAAGGGGGCAGGATGAGGCTGGTAGGTAGAAAATGGGGTGGGGCTTGAGGTGGGAGGAGGGGATAGGTGGGAGGAAGGACAGGTCAGGGAGGCGGGGACAAGCTGGGCTAGTTTTGGGATGCGGTCGGGGAGAGGAGATTTTGAACCTTGTGAAGTCCACATTGATACCATTGGGCTGCAGGGTTCCCAAGCGAAATACGGGTAGCATCGTTGTGGCACTGCAGGAGGCCCAGGATGGACATGTCGTCTGAGGAGTGGGAGGGGGAGTTGAAATGGTTCACGACTGGGAGGTGCAGTTGTTTGTTGCGAACCGAGCGTAGGTCTTCCACAAAGCGGTCCCCAAGCCTCCGCTTGGTTTCCCTGATGTAGAGGAGGCCACATCGGGAACAGCGGATACAGTATACCACATAGGATGAGAATAGATCTGGACTGAATACATTTGAATCAAAGGTTGACAGGAGAAACAGTAATTGAACAAAGAGAAGATAGCTTGGGCACAGTCAAGGTACATGTTCTGAAAAGGGAAGGGCAGGACAAATAAAATAAATCCTGTCTTCCCTGAATGACAAATGAAATAAGGATAAAGAAAAAGTGTGCTAATGACAAACGTCAGGCAGAAAATGAATTAAGACCCTGGCTGAATATACTAAGTTCAAAGGAGTGGAGATAAAACAAAGAGCAAAAACAAACAGGAAGTATGAAACGAGGCCAACAGTTAACATAAAAGAAAATTCCAAAGTCTTCTCTAGGCATTTAAATAGCAAAAAGAAGAGTGGAACCAACTAGGGACTAAAAATGGATCTACACATGGAGGCAAAGGACATGGCTGAGGTACTAAATTCATACTTTGCAAAGGTCTTTACTAAGGAAGATGCTACCCAGGCCATGAATATTAATATGGAAGTAATGAGCAGGGTAGACCAAGGAGAGCCAATGGATGATATCTACCTGGATTTCAAGAACCTTTGATAAGATTCCACACAGGAGGCTGCTGAGTAAGATACGGGCCCACAGTGTTAGAGGCAAGGTGCTAGCATGGATAGAAGATTGGCTGTCTGGCAGAAAGCAGAGAGTGGGAATAAAGGGGTCTTTCTCAGGATGGCAGCTGGTGATAAGTGGTGTTCTGCAAGGGTCAGTGCTGGGACCACAACTTTTCACTTTGTACATTAATGATCTAGAGGAAGGAAGTGTGGTCATTCTGGCTAAGTTTGCAGATGACACAAAGATAGGTGGAGGGACAGGTAGTATTGAAGAGGTGGTGAGGCTGCAGAAGAATTTGGACAGGTTAGGAGAGTGGACAAAGAAGTGGCAGATGGAGTGCAATGTGAGAAAGTGTGAGGTCATGCACTTCGGTAAGAAGAATAAAAGCATGGACTATTTTCTAAATGGAGAGAAAATGCAGAAGTCTGAAGTGCAAAGAGACTTCGGAGTTCTAGTCCAGGATTCTCTCAACGTAAACTTGCAGGTTGAATCAGTAGTCAGGAAGGCAAATGCAATGTTGGTATTTATTTTGAGAGGACTTGAATATAAAAGCAGGAATGTACTACTGAGGCTTTATAATGCTCTGGTCAGGCCACATTTGGAGTATTGTGTACAAATTTGGGCCCCATATCTCAAGAAGGATGTAATGGCCCTGGAGCAGGTTCAGAGGAGGTTCACGAGAATGGTTCCAGGAATGGAAAGCTTAACATATGAGGAACATTAGAGGACTTTGGGACTATACTCATTGAAGTTTAGAAGGATGAGGGGGATCTAATTGAAACTTTTAGAATACTGAATGGCCTGGATGAAGTGGATGTTGGGAAAATGCTTCCATTGGAGGACAGTCTAGGACCCGAGGGGACAGCCTTAGAGGGGACCTTTTAAAACTGAGATAAGGAGAAACTTCTTCAGCCAGAGAGTGGTGAATCTATGAAATTCACTGCCACAGAAGGCTGTGGAGGCCACGTCATTGAGTACATTTAAGACTGAGGTAGATAGGTTCTTGATTATCAAGGGGATCAAGCGTTACGGGGAGAAAGCAGGAGAATGGGGTTGAGGAACTTATCAGCCATGATTGAATGGCGGAGCACACTCGATCGGCCAAATGGCCTAGATTCTGCTCCTATGTCTTATGGTCTTATGCCTGGATACAAATATGGAAAAGATGCTTCCACTAGTAGGAGAGACTAGGATCCAAGGATATAGCCACAAAGCAAAGGGATGATCTTTATAACTGAGATGAGGAGAAATTTCTTCAGTCATTGAGTGTGGTTAATCCATGAAACTTATTGCTGCAGAAGGCTGTGGAGGCCAAGTCATTGAAAGTCTTTAAGACAGAGAAAGATAGATTTTTGATTAGTAAAGGGATTAAGGGTTAGGCTGAGAAGGCAGGAGAACGTGGTTGCAAAACATATCAGCCATGACTGAATGGTGGAACAAACTCAATCAGCTGAATGGCCTAATTATGCTCCTATATCCTATGGTCTTATATTTTTAAAGATAGCATTGGATATGTTCTTGATAGGCAAGGGAATCAAGGGTGGGGATGTGGATGGGAATTGAAATTCGAAATAAAAACAAAAATAGGAAGATAAGACAGATGAATGTGTAGCTGGTAAGATGGTGAAGGAAGGAGGGCTTTAGATTCCTGGCTCACTGCTCTGGTGGAGATGGCACATGTACAAGTTGGATGGGCTGCATCCGAACAGAAACAAAAACAGAAATTCTGGAGAAACTCAGCAGGTCTGGCAATATCAATGGGGAGAAAGCAGAGTTAATGTTTCGAGTCCGGTGACTCTTCATCAGAACTAAGGAAATCAACTGACTCAAAACATTAACTCTGCTTTCTCCCCACAGATACTGCCAGACCTGCTGAGTTTCTCCAGCAATTTCTGTTTTTGTTTCAGATCTCCAACTTTTCTTTTGTTTCATTTTTGCTTCTGAACAGAGCTGGGATTGAGATCCTTTGAACTTTTGTTAGTGTGTTCGGGATGGTTTAAACTCAGCAGGGCCAAGGGTATTCAAAATAATGTGGGGGTGCACAAAATGGTAGGTGAGACTGACGGCACTAAAAAAACTAAGTTAATCGGTAGAGTCAAAGTAAATAAGAAGGTAACAAAATCCAAAATCACGGTTACAATGCATGTATGTGAATGCAGAAGGTGTAATTAATCAGACTGGGCAGTGATAGATACAGTTTGCCATGTGGGATTGTGATGTTGTGGCGACAACAGAGACCTGGTTTAAGGAAGAGCATGCCCGAGTGTTAATTATTCCTGGCTATAACTTGTTCAGGAAAGACGAGGAGGGAAAAAAAAAAAAAAAGAGGGTGGTGTTTTTGATTAAGGGCAGCATTACAGTTCTGGAGAAAAGGAATGTTTTAAGAGTTCAAGTACAGAGTTGATTTGGCTAGGCCAGGGAATAAGAATGGTTCAGTTATATTGCTTGGTGTAAATTACATACCAGCAACTAGTGGGGAGGACGTAAAGGAACAAATCAGCTAGGAAATGACTGAGATGTGCAAATATCATATAATAGTTACAATGATAGACCTTAATTACACATATATAGACTGTAATAGTGGTAGTGCAAGCTTGTGGATGAAGAGGAGGAGTTAGCCAAAGGTCAGAATTCTTGCGGTAGGACAGAAACAACTTTGCTGAAAAGACGTGCTGGTTCTATTTCAGCAAGAAAGAATGGACCAGCCAGGAAGAGGTGCAAAGAGTTGGACAACAGAAGCAAGCGAATGGAAGAGGAAAATGTGATCGATTGTTCAATGCAGTACAAAAAGAATGCTTTATTACACATGTCGCAGAAGATGCAAGACTGCCTTTAGCACTGAACAAGACAGAAGGTTAACTGAAGGGAGAATCAACAATGCATCTTTTTTCCTCCATCACTCTTTCAAGCATGAGGATTGAAGTTACTTCAGAATAAAATTTTTATAATGCCAAGATGAACATGCACTGTGCATTACTGCAGTAATTCATCTTGTCACATATTGGAGGTGTGAATCAATGGTCTGTTGTCAAATAACTTTATGTAAAGATTCATGAAACAGACTTGACCAAAACTTAAGCTTGATCACAGAATCATATAAATCACACCGAGGCTCTTCAGCCCATCAATGTATATGCCACCAATTTGAAAGATATTTCAATTAGTCTCATCCCCTACTCAATCCACACAACGTTGCAAAGGTTTCCATTTTGAGTACATGTCCAACTCTCTTTTGAAAGTTACAAGTGAATCTGTTTCTACCAACTTTTAGACGGTGCATTCCAGATGACAACTTGCAGCATAAAATAAATTCTCATCCTGTTCTTTTTTGTGTCAATTATCTCAAATCCATGTCCTCTGGTATCTACCTTCCCACTAGTAGAAACAATTTCTCCCTAACAATTCCTCATAGTTGGAATATCTTCAGTAAATTACCCATTCTCCAGTCTCTCCACATAAGCAAAGTGTCTCATCCAAAGAATGATTTATATTTAACAAGTATCTTAGCAGTCATTTTTAATCTATGTTATTCCAAGGAACAATTAATTTTGTACTGCATTTTGGAATCTAGATGTTTTGCCATAATAAGTGTTAAGTTGACTGGACTAATTGACATCTTGCAAATAATAGCTTATAGATACATTTGCTATAGAAGTCTCCCTTCTCATAAGCTTCATATTAATACAGATTTTATTTCATTACAGAAATAAACATTTATCAATTTCATTATCTGAAAGTATGGGAACTACCAATTTGTCAATGAGTGACTGGCAATCAGAAAATGGAAGTAAACTGCTAAAGGCAAAAATGGAGATGGATATATCGGCCGACCAAAATTGTACTATACAAGACAACTTCCTAATGATTCTTTTACCTATAGCATACTCTCTCATATTTTTAACAGGGCTGATTAGCAACATTTCAGCATTATGCATATTTTTCTTTATTCAAAACAAGAAAAATTCCATCCACATCTATTTGATCAATATGGCAATTGCAGACCTCTTCTCAATTTCTTCCTTGCCTTTCAGAATAGCTTATCATGCAAATCATAACCAATGGATGTTAGGGACATTGCTCTGTAATATCATAGGCAATGTATTTTACATGACAATGTACATTAGCATTATACTTTTGGGACTCATCAGTGTGGATCGGTACTTAAAAATAACAAGGCCTTTGCGGCACTATAAAATACGGAATGCCACCCAAAGTGCAACGATATGTGCTGCCATCTGGTTTGTTTCCATTGTGATTGCAATACCAATGCTTTTGAAGACTAAAGGCGATAACAATTCCAATAACAATTTGAAATGCTTTCATTATCGAGAGAGAGACCAATTCAAAACCTACATTAATATTTTCATTGTGATAATGTTTTGGGTTGTATTTTTTTGCCTCACTCTTTCATATGGAAAGATAGCCAAAAAGCTTTTCACACTGAGTAGAGAAAAACCTGGTTTTTCTAACAACAAAGTTCACAGCAAAATTGCAACAAAAACGTTCGTTGTTCTTTTCATTTTTACCGTATGTTTCGTCCCATATCATATCTCGCGATTTTTCTACATTGCATCTCAACTCCGCAAAACAAGCTGTTACTGGAAAAATGTCGTGAATAAAACGAATGAGATATCACTTTTACTTTCTGCTTTCAACAGTTGTCTGGACCCAATTATGTACTTTCTGCTCTCTAAGACTGTTAGAAAAACAGTGCAGAATTTAGTGAGTGAAAAATTTCAGAAAGACACAAGAAGTGAGAGCACTTAAAAGCTGCACTATCTCCAGTCCTAGATGTTTATGGGTCTGTCTCAAACAATTTGAAGCCTGCAGTTATATTTCTACTTCAGAACAAAAATCAATGGACAACAAAGACTTCAGATTTGTTTACATGTATTAATAGCCTGAACCAATCTGTACATTGTGGATGTAGTATATTGGAATGCTAATGAGTAAAGAACTAAATATGATTTGAAAGTTGGATTCTTTCAAACACATTCTTTCTGTGCAACCATATACAGTCAAAATCCATATCCCAGCAGGCAAACACAATGATCTGTTATCTGTTCTTTGAAAACTCAAGTACACGCTTCTAATTTTGTTAGGATATGGCAAAGTCTCTAAGCCATAGCAAGAGGAACCTGATTCTAATAAATTACCTTAACCAGGTTTATATATGAAAGTATTCTGATTAAGGTAGTGAGAGACCATATACTAATAGCTAACATAGAAGATAATTCCTGTCATGCAGTACCTCTGGGGCTGAAGCTCTGAGTTCAAGTCCACAGGTACCTCTCAGCATCCCAACAAGTCGACGTTTTTTTTAAAATCGTCAATGCACGCATTTCATGCTCCAGCTTGTTCTGGAGCACACGTACAGAAAGGGATTTTGCCACATTTACTTATGTAACAGGGTCTTAAAGATAATTTAAATGCTTTAAAAGGCTTCTCAGAAAAGTGATTGATTTTATACGAATGCATTTTTCTTATTAGAAGTTTAACTACTTGGTTAACTATTAAACCTTAGGTGATAGTCATTTACAATTCTTAGCATAAGGACACAATTAGTTTATGAGCTGTCAAGCTTCCTTCCACCCAAGAAGTTAGTATTCTAGGTAGCAAAAGAGGCACACAATATTTGAGAACAAACTTTATGCTTCCAGCTGAGGCACATTGAGAATGCTGGCTAGATGAATGCATGTTCCACTTTCATTCATCATTAATGGCCTAAGGCAGTGGGGAAGAGACAGCACAACAACTTAAATGAGAAATTCATAACACTGATCTCATTAAACATTGAATGACTAAAATAAATGTAACATTTGAAAAGAAAGAAAATTACAATTGATGCTATGTTAGTACAGTTGTGGAATTGAGAAAGGATGTATTGGCACTGGAGGGGGTGCAAAGGAGGTTCACTAGGTTGATTCCAGAGTTGAGGGGGTTGGCTTATGAGGACAGACTGAGTAGATTGGGATTATATTCATTGGAATTCAGAAGATTGAGGGGGGATCTTATAGAAACATATAAAATTATGAAGGGAATAGATAAGATAGAAGTAGAGAGGATGTTTCCACTGGCAGGTGAAGCTAGGACAAGAGGGCATAGCCTCAAGATTAGAGGGAGCAGATTTAGGACTGAATTGAGAAGGAATTTCTTCACCCAGAGGGTTGTTAATCTATGGAATTCCTTGCCCAGTGAAGTAGTTGACGCTACTTCAGTAAACGTTTTCAAAAAAAAAGGTAGTTTTTTTTTTAACAATAAAGGAATTAAAGGATATGGTGAGAACGCGGGTAAGTGGATCTGAGTCCACGAAAAGATCAGCCATGATCTTACTGAATGGCGGAGCAGGCTCGAAGGGCCAGACAGCCTACTCCTGCTCCTGCTCCTAGTTCTTATGTTCTTATGTTTATTGCATTATTTATGGACCAAAAATATCTTGAGGATAGAAAAAAAGATTTCTGTAGCACTTAGTTGATCACTTTCCAAGTAAACGTTAACTTGGGTGCATTAGATGAAAACATAAATGTAAACTCCACTGCATAAAAGGCTGAATGAAACAATGTGTCTGCATTCAATACTGAATTGCACAAAGAGAAAAGTCATCTTTATAATTCCTGCCAATTAAAGGATCAGTCATTTAAATTTAAGTGCCATCGAGGTCTTATCCAATGCTTTAATTTATAGGTACAATGCCCTATAAAATTCCCATAAATGAGCAATGAATGAAGTGAATAAATAGACTAATCAATAGACTATTGCTAAAATTATGGACACTCAAAAGAATCTAGGCTTTCTCATAAAAGAAACTTGAAAAGGATAGGTCATCGATGTGATGAGCCCTAGAGATTAGCTTCACGTGAGGTATAGGTAAGATTAGTTGAAATACTGCAAACTGCTTTAGTATGAACAGGCTGAGAAATTAGTGAAACAAATTTGTCACCTGACTTGCCTCGATTCTACGGTGTGAGTAACTGGAGGTCATCAGGGCACTATCACAGATGTTTGGGGTCATTCATCAAAAAAGTAAACTCTACTGACACTTCACACAGATTAAATGGAATAGGGGCTTTTGAAAAATTTTCCTGATGTGTCTTTTTTTGGTCTTTGTTTGTTCTTGATTTTCAGTTATCTTTATTGCATATTTTTATTTGCAGAAAAATATCTCCCTGAAAGTTCCAGGAACTACCAGCGTACGTGATTCATAGAATCCCTACAGTGTGGAAACAGGCCCTTCGGCCCAACAAGTCCACGCCGATCCTCAGAGCACCCACACAAACGCATTCCCCTATAACCCACCTAATCAACACATCCCTGTAATTCAGCCAATAGACAAACCATATTAAACTATTAACTGGCTATTTATTTAAAGAATATAATCATAAATCAATGTCACTAGTTTGTCTCAATTTAAGACTTTTCTTGACTATAATTTGTTATAGCCAAATAATTTAATGCTGACAACTGATCCGCTTGTATGTTTTTCATTGTTACTTAATTCTACTTTCTAATTATTTGCATATTAAATGCAAATGTTCAGATGTTGTTAACTATAATGCAAATAAATTGTTAACAGTTAACATGTCTGTTCTTATCTTTATCATTTGGCAAGGAAGAATTAATTCTATCAGCAATTTGAGTGACTTAGATGAAGGGAAATGCAAAGATGTCATAAATAGATTGATGCCTAATAATTTGGTGAGACAAATCCAGGCATTGTTTATCCTGTGCAAGCACTGTTTAATCCGATGATTCCTTGACTAAAATTTAAAGAGGAGTTAAGAATTTGCCTGGGGCCCTCAATAACATTGGTCAGGATACTAATCCCAGTGCTCCTACAAAACCTGAAAGGGTCTTCTTCAAAGCTCAGATAAGTAAACTTTAAAGGATGCAGGCACAATAGGTTGCAAACATGGCTTCCTCAAAATCAAAATGAGTTAACATGACAAAAAATTAAGTTGCAATAAGATAAAATGCAAATGCTGTAAATCCAAGAATTAAATGTTGAATAATGCTTCAGGTGAACAGTCCTTATCATTTGCTGTTTTTTTTTCAGTTGATAGCCGGTTTATTGGTATTTTCAATTTTTATGCAAGTCTGTACCATCAGATTTGCTAACTACTACTGTTATGAAAGACAGCAGAAGAGAGCCATCTCTCTCTAGTCCTGTTTCACTGCTAGTCACAACATTAATTTAGATGTTTTATCCATTTACCTATATGGCCAATATTCACTGCATCCTATTAGGTTTAGATAAAAAGATCCATTATCTAGGGTTTTTAATGAATAACAAAATTAGTGATATATTGTGTAAACATTACTTATTTGGCAAAAATGTAAAGCTGATTCACAATCAGTTGAATGTATTTAAGTAAAATTACACAAATACCAGGTTAAAGCAAAATCTCTGCAGAGATCAACTTTGAGGGAATAAATACTTGGTTTAATAATTGTTGGCATGTGAAGAAAAAAAAAGAAATTTTCAAGATGTCTTTCAGTTGGTATTCTAGGGCAAGTACACAGGTCATTAAACACAGGCATCTGGGCATCCCTGGAATCTGCAACGCAGTTCCTTCAAGAGCGGTCACAAGGAATCATCGAAAGTAACTCCTTCAGTGGACTTTCAGGGGAAAAGCTGGATCAGGGTTTCAGTTACCATATTGGATCATCAAAAAGGGTATTCCTAGGAAAATTTCTTTCAACAAGCTCTACTTCAATTGCACTCCAAACAACTAGGCTAGACAAGTGACTTCAAAGAAATGAATTTAAAACAAGTCCAATGTCCACTTAGTGACTCCTTTCAAAAAGAAACAGGTTTGGGTATCCTTATCCACACTGTCCTTAATTCTTAAAACAAATCTCTAAAAGAATATTCAATGTCTTGATTGCAGTACTATTTACGTCCATACCAGGACAGATGGAATTCTGTTAACCTTGCACACCTAAAATCAAAGAGAAATGTGTGCAAAATCCTCATCAGAGTTGTTCTACACCCATTATAGTAGTGGTATTTCACTATGGGAAACACTTTCACTGGCAAGTACAGACAGACAGTCACCCATCAATAGAGTTTGATTTAATCATCAGAAAGACAAACAGCCGAGCCCAAGACTTTCCTTTCGAAACATCAATAAGCTATACAACATGATCTAAGCTTCACATATTTAGGCTCTACAATCACCCGTAATCAGTAAAATAGTGATTAGTTGAATTCTAGAGGATCCATGGGTGTTGAACAGGGCTTTGATGGAGCTAAGTAGGGCCCTACATGACCTATGTCAAAAAAACCCTCCTAAATATAACCACAGTACAGTTTTTTTTAATTAAAAAAACATTAGTATTCCATTTATTCACACTTACAGTGGCCTGACCTTGTAAAAAGCATGGAGAAACGTCAGGTCTTAGATATAGAAGCATAGAACATAGAACATTACAGCGCAGTACAGGCCCTTTGGCCCTCGATGTTGTGCCGACCTGTGAAACCAATCTGAAGCCCATCTAACCTAAACTATTCCATTATCATCCATATGTTTATCCAATGACCATTTAAATGTCCTTAAAGTTGGCAAGTCTACTACTTTTCCGTGCAGGGCATTCCACGCCCTTACTACTCTCTGAGTAAAGAGCCTACCTCTGACATCTGTCCTATATCTATCACCCCTCAATTTAAAGCTATGTCCCCTCGTGCTAGCCACCACCATCCGACGAAAAAGGCTCCCACTGTCCACCCTATCTAATCCTCTGATCATCTTGTATGTCTCTATTAAGTCACCTCTTAACCTTCTTCTCTCTAACGAAGACAGTCTCAAGTCCCTCAGCCTTTCCTCATTAGACCTTCCCTCCATACAGGCAACATCCTGGTAAATCTCCTCTGCACCCTTTCCAATGCTTCCACATCCTTCCTATAATGCGGTGACCACAACTGTACGCAATACTCCAAGTGCGGCCGCACCAGAGTTTTGTACAGCTGCAACATGACCTCATGGCTCCGAAACTCAATCCCTCTACCAATAAAACCTAACACACCGTACGCCTTCTTAGCAACCCTATCAACCTGGGTGGCAACTTTCAGGGATCTATGCACATGGACACCAAGATCTCTCTGCTCATCCACACTACCAAGAATTTTACCATTAGCCTGTACTCTGTATTCCTGTTACTCCTTCCAAAGTGAATCACCTCACACTTTTCCGCATTAAACTCCATTTGCCATCTCTCAGCCCAGCTCTGCAGCTTACCTATGTCCCTCTGTAACCTGCAACGTCCTTCCGCACTATCCACAACTCCACCGACTTTGGTGTCATCCACAAATTTACTAACCCATCCTTCTACGCCCTCATCCAGGTCATTTA